ATATCTATCCCTCCCCCCAGCCCCTGGGTACCACTAATCTAATTTCTGCCTCTATGGACTTGCCTGTTTTGGACATTTTATATAGATGGACCCATACAGTAAGTGGCCTTTGTGTCTGGCTTATTTCACTTAGCGTAATATTTTCAAGATTCATCCATCTTGTAGCATGCATTTCTTGCCTTTTATGTCTGAATAACATTCCATTGTAAGGTTACATAAGAGTTTGTCTATCCATTCATCAGCTGGTGGACATGTGGGTCATTTTCACTTTTCGGTTTTATAAATAATGCTGCTGTGAACATACATGTATAAGTTTTCTTATGAACATATGTTTACAGTTTTCTAGATACATACCTGGAGTAAAATTTCTGCATCATATGGTAACTCTGTTTAACTTTTTGAGCAACTGACAAACTGTTTTCCAAAGCAGTTACACCATTTTGCACTCCTACCAGCAGTATATGAGGCTTCCAATTCTCCACATCCTTGCCAATTTGTTATGTTATGTTATGTTATGTTATTTATTTATTTATTTATTTATTTATTTATTTATTTATTTATTATAGCCATTCTAGTAAATGTATCTCAATTAGAAGTGGTATCCCACTGTGGGTTCGATTTGCATCACTGGGTATCTTTAAATAAGAATTAGCTTATTTTCCTGATTTAGGTGATTTTGCCAGAAAGCAGGGGAAACACCAATTATATTTTAAGGTTAGACTTATTACAGCTCTAGTGTATACAGTCCCAGTCAATGCTGTGAAGTACCTTGCTAGTGAGCCCTTAGAAAATACTAGAAGAATAATACTGGCAGGGGTGGATATTCAAACATGTCTGATGACTAGGACTTGACTTAAACTTAGGTAAGGTAGGTGGTCACTTACTTAAAGAGCTTGATTTCAGTATCAAGCAGACTTCTCAGCCCCTTATTTTCTAACCTGCTGTTCATTCAAAAAATACTTCCTTCACACCTAGTGTGTGCCAGGCACTGTACATGTTGATACACAAGACTGAATAAGACAGTCCCTATGGCCTCAAGAAAACCAATGCTGAGAAGAGTAGACTGATATATAAAGAAATAAAGTCAGTGGAATATACCTCAGTGAGGTGCTATGACAGTAACCAAAGTGGCTAAAACTTGAAAACTGAAATGGACGAGTAACAATGAAAATGTAGACCAACTAGATATCATACACTATTAATGAGACCCAACTATAAATTGACCCAACCTCTTTAGAACAGTACTTGGCAATATCTCCTGAAGCTGAATATTCACATGCCCTGTAACCCATTCTACTTTCAGATATATACCTAGTAGAAATGTACACATATGGTAACTGAAAGACAGAGACAATATTCATAGCAACTTTGTTCTTAGCATTCAAAAGCAGAAATAGTTCCAATGCCTAGCAACAGTAGAAAAGGATAAGTAAACAGTGTTATCTATACAATGGAATACTATGCAGCAGTGAAAACAAACAAGCCCCTGATACTAGTAACAACATGGATGAGTCTAACACACAGAATGTTGAATCAAAGAAGCTAGATTCAAAAATAGGGGACTTTAAAAAATGGGCAAACTAATGGCAAGGTAAAAGAAATCAGAACAGTGGGTTCATTTGAAGTTCGGTAATGACTGGGATGAAGCACAGGAGAGGCTTTCAGGTCCTGGCAAGATTCTCTTTTCTGATCAGAATGGTAGTTTCACAGGTGTATTCGCTGAGCTTCTGCATACTTATGGTTTGCACACTTCTAGAGCTATGTTATGCTTCAATAAAAATGCCTCCTCAAAACATTTCAGTTTTTTATGGGCACAAAGATGGGCAAAACCAGAAGCCCATACAAGCAAGAGAGGTGGCTCATAAGTGAGAGTGGTTGACTTTTTATGGGAGGGAATCAGGGAAGGCTCTCTGGAAATGTTCCCAGAGCTGAATTTTGAACGATCATTTTTTACAAGCAGACAAAAGTGGGTAAAGGAAAGGGGAAAGGCATTGCAGACAGAGGGAGCAGGATGCTCAAAAGCACATGCAGGGATAAAATTGTGTGGCATGCTTCAGCAATCAAAGCCATTCTATATTTTTGGAGTATTTATTGGGGAGGGAAGGTAGGGAGGAAACTGTAGATAAGACTGGCCAGATAACCAGTGACCAGATCATGAAAATCCCTTCTATCCTAGCCAAACAGTTTTGAGCTTAAACTATAGGTCTTTGCCTTTCTATGGAAATAGAAAGTTTCATTAAAAGTATGGGCCATCATCTTGGAAAAATGCATGTATAAAATTCTGCACAGAATTTGCAGTTCCTCTGATGCCCATCCATTGGCTCCCGCTTTATGCATCTCAGATTGGGAATCTTATTCTTGCAATAGACAATGGGGATTAATAAAACAGCTTTAAACAGAACAGAGGCAGGACCCAATCTGTATTTTAGAAAGATCAGTGAAAGCAATATGGGGGTTAGATTGATGTTGAGCCAGAGTGACATGTAGGAATCACTTTAAAATGGCAAAATAACAGAAAAAGGACTGAAGTAAGAGAGTTTCAGAGCTAAATTCTCTCAGAATATTCATGGGTAGAGTCAAGGATGGGTGCCTTAATAGATGTGAGGGCTAAGGGAAAAGATAGCTTCTGGGATTCTGCTATGTTTCTAGCTCCTTGGTCAGACCACCTACCAAAGACAGAAACTATTTTGATTAAAAATAACCTTCTTTCTTGGAAAGAAATAGACTACACCCTAACTCCTTAGGATTCAAGTGTGTTCTGATTAACTTGGAGACATAGGCTGCTGGCTTTTGGCGACATCCTTTGCATTTGGGCCTTCTGTGCTGCAGGAGTAGACTTGGGCAGGAACAAATCAATTCACATACACTAATTCACAAAGGCACTAAGGCTTTGCCTTGGGAAATGGAAGCAGATTATGACACCTGCCAGCACTCTATCCATTGCTGTGAATTAAAAGAGCTGTATAAGGAAGAGTTTTAACATTTGGGGCCCAGGCCTACCATGGCATTGAGCCATCAAAGCTTAATATAACACTTGGAAAGAAATTTCTTCCCCCTACTTCAAGAATTGAAAGACTGTTGGACCTAGATCACAAAAACACTTTCTTTCACTGAATAAGGATCACCTCGGGCTATTTGGTGGATATTTATGCCTGGTCACTGCAGATCATGAATATGGTCAGCAATGGATAAAGACAACCCAAGGACAGAGGACAGTGAAGCCTGGTGTTTTACTGACAATCATAGCAGTCAAAAAGAATATGAGCAGACTTTCCAGCTCCTTATTAAGACAATCTGAACCTTTGGAATCTGAAGTTATCACACGAGGGAGACAAGTTGAAGGTTCTAAGTCATCTAATTTGAACATTAAGAGGAATGTGACCTCATTTTGAACTCCAGGGGAGTGAAACAGGATATATTGGTTTAATCAGATTTGCATTTTTAAAAGATCACTCTGGCTGCTTAATGGAAAATAGATTGGAGGGAGGCAAATATGGATGCAGGAGTACAAAAGGCCATTGTAATCAGTGAGGCAAGAGGTGATGGTGGCTTCAACCAGAAACTGACAGGGGATATGGAGGGAACTGAGTGGACTTAATATGTATTCCACATATTTCAGAGGGAGAATAAATAGAATGTGGTAATTGATGGAATCTGAGGGGATGGTGAGGGAGAGAGAGGAGTCACAGATGACTCCTAGGTTTCTGATTTGTGCATCTGAGTGGATGGTAGAATCATCTTTGCAGAAAGACTAGATGGAGTACTAAGAGAGAAAAAGTTCAGTTTCATAGATGTTACATTTGTAGGTTTTATGAGACACCCAAATGATTTGCTAAGCAGATATTTGAGTCAGAGCTGGAGTTCAGAAAAAAAAGTCTTGGTTAAACATTTAATGTAGGATTCATTCACATATAGATAGTAATTGAAGCCACAACATGAGAATAAGGGAGATCTATTGAGATATTAAAGTCAAGAGAAGAGGACCCAGGATAACACTAACATTTACAGGTTATGTCAATGGGAGTCAACACAGAAACTGAGAAGGGCAGTAAGAAAACCAGGAGAGCAAGTGAGCACGGAGGTCTTAGGATGGGGCATCCTTCCCAGGAACCAGCACAGAGCAATGCTCTATTGTGAATTGAAGGATATTTATGCATGATCCAGTGGATGGAGGCTGGCCGGCAAGTGCATCCACTGGAATTGCTGGGGCTTGGATTGTGAATTCTAGCTCAGCAGTGATAGAATCAGGCATCTAGCTCCCCTAAGTACAGTGACAGGGCTTGAAAGAACCATGGATGGCCAGGCTTGGGCAACTTGATCAGAACAATGACATAGAGTTGAAATAACTAAGGTCTCAGACTTCACAAACTGGATTATATAAATGAAGTCACAATACCCCAATATCAATACCCCTAATACACCAATACCCTTTTCTTGATGCTCCAACACTTTACCTAATTCACTAGCAGGCATTTAAACTGTTTCCAGGGTTTTCCCTGAAACTATTTGGGGAGGGTTGGAGAACTGAAGTTTGGGATACTTATTTAAGAGTACCTCATTGATACTTTTTGGCTTAAATTCCAGGAATAATTTTGAAGGTTAAATCCAGAAACTCAGAGTTCCAAGCCCTGTCTTAGTTGACTTGACAATGGTATGATATCTGTCACCTTTCCCTCTCTTCTAACATTTGTGAAGTTCCCAAGGAAGATCACACATGTGAGTCACTCCTGGCCATCATTTGCTGCTAGCCTACTAGTAGAGGGAGAAGTCACGTGTGTCCTTACAGACAAAAACACGAGCATGTGAGTCAGAATCATTCTGAAAGTTCAGTCTGAACAAAATGTAGGAACTGCAGTAGAGAAAAGAGTGGCATTTTGGGTCAGAGCCCAGCCAATTCTCTGGGGATTGCAGGTGGAACTCCTTCTCAGGCACCAATATCCTAAAGGGGTACAAATGGATTCTACAAAGTGTTCAGAGGACGCTGACGACCCAAAGTCACATGCTCTTAGCCTATTAGGCCCCATGAAAAGAACAAAACTAACCCCACTTCTGTTACTTCTCAAGATGAAACTGGATTCATATTGGGCCCTGCCTTTAAATTGGCTGTGGGAACAGAGTAGGGCCTCCCATAAATACCCTGGCTTGGGGCAAAGGGCAGGGCAAGCCCTTACAGAGACAGGGATCTACCAAGATATGAAATACCTGTCTGGCAAGTCCTTAGAAGGTCTAAAACTATTGTGCTATGTGCCCTCGTGTCATGCTAAAGTTAACTGGGCATCAGGGCGCATAAGCACGGCTTGGCAGCAGAACCAGAGCGTAGCTCCCAAAGGTTCTCCACTGTGGGGTTTAGGGGATTGGAAATTCATTCATTCAAGTAAAGATTTATGAGCACACATCAAAATCACAAGTGGCACTTTTTCCCTAAAATACACATCTTTATGAATTTGCTTTGTGGGGTCCTTCAGAGGCTGTTTCTCTCCACACACTCTGCTTGAAATTTAGGTAACATAGAAAAGATGAATGATGGTACCTGTATACTGTCAAACTGGAGTGTTTTTCCTAAGTCCCAGGAAACCTACTCTTATCAAACATCCTCAACCTTTCTGTAGAAATCACTTATGAAGCAATTGCTAGTTTCAGAGCAAAAATTAAAGAAAGAAACCCTAAGTAAAGTCAAGTACTTTCTCAGACTTAAAAAGTAATCTAATATGAAGCCCTGCTAGTCTCATCTGACTGAAAGACCTAAATAGCAATAATTATGACTGCCATCTACTGAGCACTTTCTATGTGCCAAGCACTTCTTTGTCTTCTCATTTAATCTGCACAATAACCCAATGAGGTGGGTGCTATTCTACCATATGAGAGACTGGACACTCAAAGCCTTTAAATGATTTAGCTAAGACTTAGAGCTATAATTTAGGTGAAAGTGACTGAAGCTTCGTCTGATGCTGGGCATGAAATTTAGAGGGCAAGAAAACAGTCATTATGAAAGACTGACATTTTAAAGTACTTTCTTTAGGAGACACTCTCTACCTTTCTCTCTCTCCCTACCTCTGGCTTTGGTGGCAAGTTCTCCTATACACTCAGACATTGCCCTTTCGCAACCTCCCAAGATTTGTGTATATGAGAACTTTCCCTTCCATTCCACTTTTGCCATAAGGATGAATGCCCTGCCCTTTGCCATGAGGCTAGATTTGAATCCAACTTCCTGTCAGTTGTTAAAGACCAGGCAAACTGTTTTTTCCCTTCCCCATCTTTTAAAATTAAGCTTCTGCTACTTCTGCAGAAAACTAATCTCATCTGATAGTAAAACTTCACTTAGAGCCAAAAGCTTTCTGGGACTTGGAGAAGCACAGCCTGGCTTCTCCAGCTTTGGAGTTCAAAGTCAAACTAAACTGTTTGAGCCTGAAGTTTTCTACATCTGTGCCTGGATGTTGCCTGCTTGCTGACTGAAACCTGCGCTGGTGTGAAGAGAAGGTTCTGCTCAACACTGGTCTCACTGCCCGCTGAGACTCTAGCAAGCCAGATTTGGGACTGGGGCTGATGATCTTTACCCCAGGGTAAGATCACCCTGAACGCCCTATGTCACAGCAAGTCAGCATTCTCAATACTGTCATTCTCTGGAGGCCTGATTTCAAGGACATTGAGTCAAGGCCTTTTTATAGACTCAGGAACTTCATTTTACTTTGCATCATGCAGAAGTTAGCCCACCAGTTCATGTTCTTTCTATCCTCATGGGCAGTTTTATCACAGTGCTTTTTTTTGTATTTCCTGTCACAGGCACCCAAGGGTCACCCAAGTCCATCCTGCCAGATTTTAGTGACTTGCAATTGCAGAGTAAAAGGATTGAGGACTTGATCTTTTCCAGATTATAACTTCAGAAAGGTATACTAAAATGAAGTAAGCCCAGTGGTGCTGGTGAATGTTCAACAACTGGCTCTCTGGGGGAAAAGTGTGTGCATGCATGCATGTATGTGTGTACATTATATACATGCATATATATGTATGTGGGCTTTACATTTTATTTTTATAAAAGATGAATAGCACGCAACATACAATAATATATATAATAACTTTTATTTTCAACTTTGTATAACAAATGATTGTACATGTGAATTAGTACATACTGCTAAAGGAGAGTGAAATGTACCAAAGGAGAGTGAAAAGATATAATCTTAAAATTTAATTTCTTTTATTTGTGATTTTGTGTTTATAGGTGATCTATTTTATTACCTTATAGGATACCAGAAGAACTAAAAAATATATAAAAAGAAAACTGTAAGAATAATGTGTAAATATGTGTGCACATATGTTGTAGGTGTGTATGCATGTTGTGTACAAAGTTTTTTATATAAAGGAACTGTCATTTGTTTCAGCTTCTGGAGTTACCTTTGGAGCTGATTCCTTGGTTTTGGAAAACTCACCACAATGGACTCTTTATTTATTTATAAGGCAAACATTCTCCTACTGATCTCCAAGAAAGCTATGCAGCTCACCTTAAATCTGCACGATGATGCTACAGACTGAGGTTTTGTATTCTGCTTAGTGTTGCAAACTGAGCTTGCATTCAGCCAGCATGTGACTTGGAAGAAGAAAAAGAAATGACTTCCTAGAACTTTAGTGATTTTGGTTAGACTGGTCAGAGAGTAGGAGGGAAGTAATGTGGACTATTAGGATTGCTTTTGCATGGTGGTGTTTGCTTTTAATTTGGGAGAATTTAAGGGTGACAACTTTGCTTTTGCTTGGAACAAATACCTCCTGGTTGAACAAGTAGTGGATTCTAGAACCTTCCTAACCAAGCTCTCCAAGTAATTACCAAGGGAAGTGGTAATGGCAGCAGTGAATCAGCATTTCCTAGGACTACCCCAGCAGTCTGAGTTTCCCTAGGTGCAAAGTATAGCAGGCCCCACATCCATCATAAAGAATGGGCATCTGTGAAGGAGAATCTCAGGAGAAGGAACTTCCTAGAAGTCCAAGTTCTTTATATTTGACTATTAAAAGAAGTGACCTAAATTATGCTCCAAAGTGGTGAAGTGGAATATTTCAACTCTATTTTATGCTATCTTTTTTTTATTAAAATGCTTGTATTTTAATTAAGCACCAGGAAAATTCCATTTGCAATGGTATATTGGATATCTTTGTAATTAATGGTACCAACCTAGATAGGCTTCCTTCACATTAAAAAAAAAAACATTAAATTTTGAAATAATTAGAGATTCACAGAAAGATGCAAAACTAGTACAGAGAGGTATTGTTACCCTTCATTTGGTTTATACCATACCATCTTACCTGACTATGTATGTATTTCCCAAATTTTCTACTATGTTATCATTAGGGAAAAAAAGCCTTTTTCCAGTTCTTGAAAGTGTTTTTTTTTTTAACCTTTTGTTCTGAATTATGTTCCTCTCCTGAGCCACACTCTGTGGAATCCCAATTCACCATGCCTATACCCAGTGATAGTCACAATACATAATGATACGTAAAAACTGGCTGTGCTTTGGGAACGACCAATCAGAAGAGAGTCTGGTCCCAAAAACTGGAACAGTGTTTTGGACATTCATGCATTAATCCTTTAGTTTCTGGATCATGGGACTGTCTGGGAGAGGGTAGCAGGGGACATGGTTATTGATCAATGGTATAAAAATATCTCAGTATTTGGACCATCATGCCTGGGTGCTGGAGCATCGGCGTGATTTCCCTGTAGTGCACTCAACACATTGCTTGGTATTCATTGGATTCTTTTTACGTGTCCCCCACCCCCATATATTACCATCTCTTTGAAAGCAAAGACTATGTGCTTTATTTACAGACCTCTAAAGCCCAACATGGTACCTAAGTCAATATTTGACAAATGACTAATACATAAACAAAACTTAGATTCTAGTCCTGGACCTCTTCTTGAACTAGCTGTGTGACCTTAGGTAGGTAACTCACTCAGGATCCTCTACTGTAAAACAAGATTATTAAACTTTTTGTTCCTTCTAAAGCTTCATAAGAAATTTGTAAGAATTTCAAGATATGCAAGAATAAGAAAAGACTAGTGATAAAGTTAGAAAATTCTATTTTGGCAAATATCTATGGCCTATTATACACAAATACATAATTTTTAAAAGTCTGGAGGGAAAAGAAAAATGACTTCAGAATTGTTCATGAAGAAATATCACAGTCTAGTGAAGACCATTTTCTTTGATACCATGATACAAGAGACAATGACATAGGTACTATAATAGGTATGTAAATAAGGCATTTCAAAAGCATAGAGAAAAGGCTGATGCATTCTAATTGCCATATTGATATAACTCCTTGGCATTTGTAACCAATCTCTTTCCAAAATTCCAAGATTTAATTAATAAAAATTGATATATATTATTAGGTGAATAAGTAATATTTTAAAGTGACTGCTATACCTGGTACATAGTAAATTATTTTTAAGTGTTATTATAGTAGCTATCATTCTTTGAGCTGCTATTATTAGAAGTTTGATAATATGTGCATAAGAAATGTAAATTTGTTATCTCAATTAATTGTCACTGCAAACCCACAAAGTACTATCCCATTTTACAGATGAGGAAATCAAGGCTGGAATTAGTCAAATAACTTACCTGAGGTCATAGGGTTAGTAAGGGGCCACACCTACCTTGAACTCAGATTTGTCAACTCTAAAGGTCCTGTTTTGTTTTTAACTACCATTTAAAAATAAGGTACATGATACCACTTTAATCACAAATAAAAATTGAAATAACTTTCTCCAATCTTAATATTAGTAAGGTAATGTTAGTAAGTGGGGTATGACTGTGCAAGTCTTGCAGGATCCTGAACCATTTGGCATTTTTAGCTGCTATAAAATATTTTATTTATTGCAACACTTTGAAACTGTGAATTTAGTTTGGAAATAACTTCCCCACAGCATGGCAGAAGTATTTGCACCAGTCCTTGCGTGTCAGTTATACATTGGTTGCCTTTCAGCTCCAAATTCAGTCTTTTGGGATGTGTGCTGAAAATGGATCTGGGCCTTTAAATATTTGTCTTTTGCCAGCTGACACTGAATATTTGTGAGTAGAAGGTGCTGGAGGTACACCAGACAAAAGGATTTTACTTCTTGGTTCCTACAGTGTACTTGTGTTCCTGTGTGGCTTCCTCCATCACCAGTCTTCTGCAGCACATGTGAGTTCCCCAGTGCTTAGCTCCTGCTGCACGAGGGCTTTCTCCAGTGTTCTACCCCTGAAGTACATGGTGGCATGCTGGCCAGGTTTCCCCGGTACCCCTTTCAGGCAGTTTCATAGTGGTGTGCACTCCAGAGAGCAGACTTCTGGTACATTCTACTTACACAATACCACAGACTTTTCTGCCATTCTGTGAGCCATGACCATGCCCTCTTCAATAAGATCTGGATCTCAACCTTAGGGGACATGGGGGCTCTCCCTTCAGTGCTCTAAGGCAACCTCAGGGCCAATGACTCTTACATATAATGTTATATAATAGATCTGCTATTATAGCTGTTATTCCTATATTCTTTAGAGTTCTCTTTACCTCTTACTAGCCAATTTTTCATTATTCAAAACCCCTATATAGTTAATAATTATTTATATTAAACTTTACTTGCTATTTTACTATTATGATTCCTCTCCCCAGATTAATGCAGATTGATATATCTTGGTACAAATCTTAACTAATACCCTACTATTTTACCTCTCAGCCACCTCAAAAAAGATAAACAAATATATTGCAGTTGAGTCCCCTTTTGACATTTAAATTTACTTCCTCCATACTGCTCCTCTTCTCACCAAATCCTTCTTACTGTACCCTGTCCTCTAGCCTCACAAATCATGATGTTGATCTGTAGGCATACTGCATTCTTCACATCCTTATAAACCCCAATTCCTCTGTCCAGAATCTTTCATTCCTGTAATGTACTAGAAGAATTTGTTCAATTTTTCAACACCCAGCTCCAATATTATCTTTTTGAAATATCTTTAGCAGAATTATTCACATACTTCTATTTTAGCATTTAGTATATAGTATTTTATTTTCTCCAATATTTATTTTCTTCAATAGACTTTAATTCTTGAAGGCAGGGGCTGTGTCCTGTTTATACTTCTAGCTCCTAAGACAGTGCCAGACACACAAACATCAGTAAATGTTTGTCAAATGATTCGACTCATCTGCATATGATGCAAGAAATGGAAAAATTCACAGCCATTATAATTTTTGACAGTTGCCCATCATACAGCTCAACAATTCTGTTCTGACCATGTGATGAAAGTTATGGATACTCAGAGAATCAATTCTGCATTTGCAATTATCACAACCTTCAGAGTCTCACTTACTTGATCAGTTAAAATTCAGAAGCAGAGCATCAAGCTTCTAATCCTAGACCAACAGCCAAGATGCTGTTCCCAGTTCCCAGGTCCTTCTAATTCCTTACCTAGGGAGAATATACCAAGGACTAGATGTCTAGTTAGACAGATGGGGAATCTGGGTAAGTTAACTGGCTTTCTAAACTTTACTTTCCTCATCTATACCTACACCGTAGATGAGAGTTAAATGAGATAATGTAAGTAAAGTTTGCATGGTGCCAAATACCAAATGATCATTCAAATGTTAGGTGCTATTACATTCCTTTGTGCCCAGGCTTAGCCACAGTTCCAACAAGAACTCCTCCTTGCTCTTTTTCCTGGCCTGGACATTTGGACATCTGTCCAAGCCTAGACAATCCAATAGCACATTCCTATCAAACTTGGAGAGCTGGACATCAGTCTCTGCCCATTCTTTCCTATAGAACTGCCCATTGTAGAATTTGGGGCATTCCCAGTCCATCTCCTCGGAGCCCAATTTATGCTACATCTCAGATTCACCTTTGTCCTTAGGGCAGTTGTCCATGCCTATCTTGCTCAAAACCCACAACGTTAGAAGGCATTCAGGACCCTTTGAATGTCTCTTCAGTCTTCTTTCCAGCTCTTGTCCTGCCCCACCCACATCTTTACTGACCACAACCTAACACATATAACGACAGTGCAAAAGTAACAAAAGCATAAGAAATTTCAGTTCTTTTTCCAAAGTAGAATTTGCTGGGAGATTTCTAATCAGAACTAAATGATCCTGGGTTTCATGTAATTGATGCAGAAGTATGTGTGCTGCTAACCAATGTTTTCTTTTCTGCTTTTATTGCCTGGAGAGGAGAAAACATTGTCTAGAGTGTTTCTCTGCCCTAGAGATTTTGGAGCAGCCTCTGTGGATTCTTCCACTGATATCTAACATTACTAAGGAGAGCCTTTATCCTGCAACATGGTCCTGAAAGAGTTCAAGTCCTACTGTTGTCACTTGCTACCTGTGTGAGCATAGGTAAGTTTCTTAGTTCCTTTACCCCTCACTTTTTTCTATCTGTAGAATAGGTGTGATAATAAGAATAGTAGCTACTAAAACAAAATTAGATGAATGCACATAAATTACTCATCACAGTACCCAATTGAGAGTTAGCTCTCATTTTTCTACCAGGGCCTAAATAATCCAGCAATAATAAAAGAATAAAAGGGGGGATGCCTATACAGACCTGCAGAATAAAAACCTTCTTAGAGGACTATGGCAAAGGTAGATTTTGAACAAGTGAGTGGCCTCTCTAGGGACCTCTGGGGTACTCACCAACTCCAGGCTCAAGTTTGGGCATCTTTTTTTCCCCAAATGTTGCTACATTAAAAAAGAAAATCATGGTAAAATATATGTAACAATTTACCTTTTTAACCACTTTTATCTTGGGCAGTTTTAGGACTGTCTACAACCCTTATAAAATGATCAGTGATTAGAGCTTCTTAGGTTTCAAGTTATAGAAAATTCATTTAAGCCATAAAGGGAGTTTATTGGTTTATTTAATTGAAAGGATGGAGGTATCTGATTTCAGTTATGTTTTGATCCAGTAGCTCAAGTGACCTCAACTAAGGCCTTGTTTGTCTCCATATTTTTTCTCTGCCCTCTGCTGGGCTGACTTTATCCTCCACAAAGTCAAAGCTGGCAGCCCTGGGTCCCTCATCCTCAGGAGTAAAACGACTATCAAGCAGGGCAGGCCTCTAGTCCTTATAGCGGCTCCTTTTGTGAATTCCCCCTGAAGAGAAAGGAAACTTCCCCCAGATCCCAACATCTCCTTGCATCTAATTATCTCAGATCACATTGCGTACCTGTCTTGGAAAGACCCTGGCAGCCACGGAGCCTTGGGTGCATTAAGCCAAGTACAGCCCATCCTAGGACTGCAGCTGGACTCAATCCCACCCAGACCACATGGCTGATGATGGGGGATGGGGGATCCCCTCAAAGCAAAACCTTGCGGCTATTACCAGGAGAGAAAATATCCACTACAAACACTTTGTCCTGGACCCAAAAGGAGTTCCCATCCATCATCCCAAATAGAATGATTTCTTTTTCTTTTTTTTCTTTTTTTCTTTTAACCTTATCCACATTCCAGCAGATTCTTCTCCGTTGCTGGTATCCTGGCTTCCTTCTCCATTGCTATGAAGATAATGAGACAAGGATAGCCACAACAAGTTTAAGCTTTCAATTACTTCAGAATGAAGGGGTCCTTCAATGAATTTGAAATAAGGCTGAAATTGTCAACCCATTCCCACAAACCTTGAGTCACCATATACCTTGAAATTCAGCTTTAAAAATCTCACTACCTATAAAAGAAGAAAAAGTCAACTTTAGAATTTAAAGTCAACCTGAGACTTCAGACAGGCACAGTTTGATGGATATGGTCTTAATCCTGTTGCACACTTGCTTAGCACCCTGAAAACAGAAAGCATTTTAAATTTATACTAAGAATGTGTATACCATTACATGAATTGGCTTGTCTTCTACTAATCTTTTCAAATCCACAGATTTTTCCAGAACAAGAGATTTTTGTTTTGGGCTTTGACACACTTTTCTCATGCTTCTCTCTGAGTTGCATTGCTTATTTCTTAAAAGCTTTTCTTTCCAAAGAGGACCAAAAGTATAACAATGAGAGATTTGCAAGAAAATAATAAAATTGTACTTCTGTATTGATTTCTTAAAAAATGTTAAAATTCAAACAAAGTAATGTAACCAATATGGATTAAAAAATCATTTTAAAGTCTTTGTTTAGTCCTTTAGAGGTGAGACCTGACAGTTATACCTGGTTGCTAAAACTGAGAGAGAACTGCTCCATGGTGACAGCTTACTTTAGTTGTGGGCAAATCATCCAAGAAGAAGTAAACAGCATCTCAGGTCCTGATTGAGTAAAACCAAAACAAATGGCAGGCAATATTGTTACTTAGGTCCTTGAAGCTTAAGTAGCTTGAACCATTTATACCTTAGAAATGTATGGCATTTCATATTTTGTTACTTTGTGGGATGACCACTTTCTAGTCAAGTCTAGCCAGTCATATTTGAGTGTTGTGACCATTAAAGGGGGAAGCCTTATTTGGAGTTCATATAATCACATATATATGATCTATTATGTGTATGTATGTGTGTGTGTATGTATATACACATTTCTTTTTCCTCATATATAGTAGCTAAAAGTTCAATTTTTTATTTCAGCATATGTTTCCTACCAAAGTTGACAAATGAAGGAATACATAGTTTCTTTTGCTTTTTAAAATAAAATCTTTTGACAAATAGTTTTATTGAAAGTATAAATGGCACACAGTAAACTACCTAAAGTGTGCAATTTTTATAATTTTGTCATATGTTTACATTCATGAAACCATTACCAACCATCAAGATAGTGAACATATCCATTATCCCAAAAGTCTCCTCATGCCCCTTTGTAATCCCCTCCATGCACCCCAACCCCAAGCATCCACCTATCTTCCCTCTGTCATTACAGACAGGAAGTTTCATACAAATGGAATTATACATTTTGCACTCTTTTATGTCTGGCTTCCTTCACTCACAATAATTTTGTTTTTGAGATTTATCCATGTTGTTGCCTGTATCGGTAGTTTGTTGCATTTTATTGCCGAGTAGTAAGAATATCTGATCTTGAAATTCATAAAATAGAAGTTTGTTAATTCTGTGTAATCTTTTACTTTAATATGATAACACAGGACATTTTTGTCAGAGGTAGCATGTCTGAAATTCATTAAGTATGAGGCCTTATAAATCTGCTGCAACTCTTGGAATATCAAGCTTCCCAGAGGTTTTCACTAAGTTGTCTTAATTTTACAAATTGTAGGTATTAGGAGATTTGACATTGATTTGAATTATAGAATCATAGAATTTCATAACTAAATGGAGCATTGGAGATTATTCTGCTTACCTCTTCCTTTTACAGATGAAGAGCTGAATGTCCAGAGTGGCTAAAGGGCCTGTCAAGGTCGTACAGAACAGGCTTCTTTCAATGTTCTGGGGGCGAGTAATGGACAGTTGAAGTGGATGATGCTGTCAGTTCTCCCCTTTGCCGTCTTGGCCTCCTCTCATTGTTCCTGACTACAGACTGCTTAGCCTCTACCTCACCCATCTGGCTCCCAGCCTGTGACACCCCCACTAGAGTCCCACCAGCTTCTGGGTGGGGTAGATGGCTTTGATCCAGCATGGCAGGCTAAGTGCAGCCTTTGGTGCTTCAGAGCAGCTCAGGAAACCTAAACTTTAAGATTGCCTCTGCACCAAGCTAAGCTCCCATATTTAATGGATGTTGTTTGACCCTTCTCCTTGTTGCCTTAGAACGGCTGTCAAGGTGTCTGCTTCCCAGATACCATACAGACAACAGGGCAACAGACTCTTGCTAAAGACCAGAGAGGGAAAACTGGGACCCACGTTTAAACACTTCGTTTCCCTCTTTTCCTTATCTTTCTTCCTACAATGCCTCTGGGGTCAAAAGGGGGCAGGTTTTCCTCTCTTCCTCTTCCTATATGGAGCTCTACAAGCCTGGACCTTGATAAATAAAGATGGAGGTAAAGGAAAATATGCAATTCTCTCTTAATAGTCTGGCTTGCAAAGCTAGAGTGGTGCAGAAAAGTCTGAATTTTGAGTGCCAGAAGCTGGATTTCCTCTGTTCACTCCTCTGTAATGCTTTTAATCTCCCTAGGCAGAAGGATGCCTCACGAAGACTAGGGTGAAGATCATGTGCTCTGACAAGCTAAACATAAAAGCAGATTAAGAATTTTCAAACTACTGGTATTACCTCTATTCCACTAGCTACCAAAGTGTCATAATTAATACCCACCCACTTAGCCTTATGATAAAATTTCAGCTGCCCAAGAACCAGAGACCCTCTCCTTCCTGCAATCAGTCTCTCTCCACTAACTAAAATGGTGATATTAGCTAACATTTATGAAAATTTACTATATGCTATGCAGATTACCTCATTTAATTCTCACAACAATCCTATGTTGCAAGTACTATTATTCACCCACTTTACTGACAAGGAAACCGAAGCTTAGAAAGATGACCTGGTCAAGGTCCATACCTAGTAAATGACAAAGCCAGGAGTCTGAAGCTTGTTTTTAAGCTACTTTCTAGTTTTTACCTGTTGGCCTCCACTGCTTCCAACCTGATCACCATACATACGCTGGTTACCTTCCTAGAATGAACTGACCAACTTAACCCAAATGGAAGAGAGGCTGTTTTTCCAGGACCTTTCCTGCCAACTGAAATGTACAGTGAAATATAAGTAGATCTATTTATGGCAAAACTAGAGGTGCTTAATCTAAAAGATTTTATTGCTTCTAGAAATCTTGGCACTAGTAACATTAATTATCTCAAGTGAAGATACCAACTTAAAAATCAATGCTGCAATTAAGTTATAGATTAATAAATCATTATTCAGACCTTTATTTCCCTTTGCCCTAATTTTCTCATATATATTTTTCTTTTTATATTTGATTATTTTTTTCAAAGCTTCTGCAAGTACTCTTGGAAATGAGGTGGAGTTAGTAAATCTAATGAATGAATTAGTAAATCACTGTATTTTATAGGTTAAATAACAATGACATTCTGTATACCACTCTGTAGTTTTGTACACATTCTTTACCATTAACTTTGAACTTTACAGAAATCACTTCTGCATTCATCTTTGTGTCACCAGAATCTGTCCCAATTCAATCATTCAGTAAATATTTTTGGAATTTTAGAAAAAGTGATAGTGATGCTGGGGTTCTTGTTCACGAAGCCGAAGAATGAGCTTCACAAACACTCAAGGTAGGAGAGCAAGGTACAGGCTTTTATTTAGAGATAAAGTGAAAGGACAGAACTCCCTGCTTACACCAGGAGGGGACAAGTAGCAGTGCATTGTCTAGGCAGTTGAGGATTTTTCGAAAACATGAAAAAAAGCTTAGGGGTGTGGACTTTGTAGGATATTTACAATTAACTTGATACAAGTAACCTCCTGCTCTGTTGATTTCTCCCTGAGATACCAGCATCTTGGTCACCTGCTCAGCCCCCAAGGTGGGCTGATGCATTGTTTGCTAAAGAGTAAGTTAAGTGCAATCTTATCTTTAAGCTGGAATCCTTCTTGCCTTTTACTGTGTTCTGGCTGGGCTTGCATGCTAAATTAGTTTGCCCTGTTTGCAAAATCACTTCATCAGATCTCTAGGAGGAAAGACAGCACATAGGCCTGGGCCTTTTAGCATGTTAAAGTGAATCTTACACATGATTATAAATGATTAGCAGAAAATAAACATGTGCTACTCTTCTTTACCTGGGGTACACCAACTGCTCTCACTGAAGAATGACTCTAGAGCTGAATGTTTAACAGAGTTTTGGTAGCGGGTTTCCTTGCATGTAGTTACATTGCTCTGACTGTAAATATCCTGCCTTGCTTTTTTTGAGAGGCCCTCACCCTACTCTGACTACACCCCACGGTCCCTGTCTCAATAGTATAAAGAGATGACCACGTAGTGGGGTAGTGTCAGGTCTTTTAAGGGAGCTCAACAAATGTGGAACAAATCTCACTTCATCTCTACAAAAGAACTTTGTGTGAAAAATTAAGATTTCTAGTTTTTAGAAAGACAGACAGGCAATATGTCTTATTTGTGGTGGCTCACTGGAAAGAGGGAGAGCTTAGTATTCAAATCCAGATATTTGGACCCCCAAAGTCCTTGCTTTTTCTACTATCTTAATATAGACACACAAGAAGCAAGTGGGCATAGGTGTTTTACGTCTGCCTCGCATTTCTATGGGCAGCCACTGCGGTTTCAAGGGAGGACACAGGTAAAGTATATCTTTCCAATCAGAGGCCTGTGTGCTCCTGGGCATGCAGGTAACCCATGCCAAGCCAGTTACTGCATAACCATCCATCCCCAAACTTGGCAAATTTAAACAGCAATGACTTATTATTTCCCATGAATCTGTGGGTTGACTGGGTGTTCTTCTGCCCTGTGGTGCTGGCTGGGCTTACTTGTGCAGCTGTGCTCAGCTGGCAGCTGGACTGAGCTGGAAGGCCTGGGACTGTGGTGATTGATGATCTCCAGCTGAGGTGCCTTGATTTTCCTCCATGGCCCTCCTTCCATGTGGCATCTCATCCTGCCGGGCCTCTCTGTATGGCCTTTCTCCAGTGGTAGTCACTGGACTTCTTTACGGCAGTTTAGTAGAGATTGCTGGTGTTTTAAACTCAGAGTCTCAGAATGTCACTTCCATCACATTGTACTGGAAAAAGAAAATCACTTTGTTAGGCAGAAAAATAGATATGAGCAGGGTAGAAAGAGAAAAAGGCCAGAAAGTCCACTAAAAAGACCCAAAATTAATCAATTAAAGCTCAAAAAGCCAGGAGCAACTTGGCCTGGAATGTTTGAATATACCTCAGGTAAAGGAGGGTACCTCAGCATAGCCCATATGTCTTGCCAATGGATTTCAGCCCCAGGCAAGTTCACTATGGATTCAGTGTGACCAAAGAAAATGACAGCAAAACGTTCTTGGGGGTGAAAGGGTTATACCCAACTTTACTTCCAGGTGGCAGGTCAGTCACTAGAATCCCATTCACTCAGAGCGAGTCTGCGTGCAGCAAGCCAGTCTCTGCCTCTGGGCCTTTCTGCACAGCCATCCCACACAGCCATCCTCTGGGCCTCTGCTCTGTTCTGCTCTGCTCTCCTGCAACCTTGCAGCCCTGCCACTGTGTTGCACCCAGAACACTGGGCGGAGCTCTTTATATAGAGTCAACAGCCATGTACTGCCCACAGGTGTGCAGTGAGCTAGTCAGCCATGGCCAGGTGAGAATCCTGGCCACAGGAACTCTCATTTTATCCATACCATGTCTTCATTGTGTTAATCATGCAGGCCCAGCCATAAACAACATAGTAAAAGGCAGGAAGGATTCCATCTTAAAGGTTGTATTTTAATATCCAGGAAATTGAGAAGATTCTTAACTTACTCTTTAGCAAACAGACAATAACTCAGCCCACCTTGGGGGCTGAGCAGGCAGTCTATTTGATATGCTTCCAGACCAAGATGTAGGTATTCCAGGGAGAAATCAGAGCAAGAACTTCCTTGTACTAAGTTAATTCTAAGTATTCAAAAACCACTTAACAAGTCTCCACCCTCAGCCCTTAGTCACAATCCTAAAGAATCCTTAAAAGGGGGAATCCCCAGCCTTTTGGGGCGTTCCTCTCTAAGGCTACCCGCTGTGGATAAAATGAGAGTTCCTGTGGCCAGAATTCTCACCTGGCCCTACTTGACTAGCTCACTGCACACCTGTGGGCAATACATGGCTGTTGACTCTTTAAAAAGCTCTGCCCAGTGCTCTAGGTGACAGGTGGCATGGCTGCAAGGCTACAGGAGAGCAGAGCAGAGGCTGGAGTGGTGGCAGTGCCGAGGACAGAGGCCCAAAGGACGGCTGTGCGAGATGACTGTGCAGAGAGGCCCAGAGGACAGCTGTGCAGACAGAAAGGCCCAGAGGCAGAGACCAGCTTGCTGCATGCAGACTCGCTCTGGGTGAACAGGATTTTAGTGACTGACCTGCCACCTGAAAATAAAGTTGGGTATAACCCTTTCACCTCAAGAATGTTTTGCTGTCAATTTCTTTGGTCACATTGAATCCATAGCGAACTTGCTTGGGGCTGAAACTTACCGGCAAGACACCCGCACTTTCTAAGTTGTAACTAACTTTAAACTCTCTCTTTTCAACCTTTCAGGGGGTGCACCTTTCTCTGAGGCTGCCCACACTTTCTAAGTGCATAAACTTTTAAACTTTCTCTCTCCAACTTCTCAGGGCACCTCTCCTTGCTGAGGTGGATGTACTTTTTCTCTCTTTAAGTAACTTTAAATAAAACTTTTACTCTGCTTCACTACTGTGTCTCTGCCCTTCAATTCTTTGTTGCAGCAGGGACAAGGACTGAGGAAAGTACACAACCCTCTACCAACAACCTCATATTAAAAAGGAAAGGAAATGGGATCAACTCTATGATGGGGAAGTAGCATGCTCACAAAGGAAAGGGAATTGTTGGTGACCATTATGTAGGGGACCTACCACAGCACCTTCCCCAGGACAATTTTACACCTCTCCTTCTGGGAAGCACAGATGCCAGGAATCACAAAACTCCAGAGCTGCTGGGGCCATCTCTGCTGCCATGTGGAAAAAACCTGCCTGAGAATAAAGCCATCCCGGAGGAGAGCAGAAAAAGAGGTGGAGAAAAAAATGGTGAAACTTAGTTTTCCACTTAGGCTGACAAGCTAGTGGTTAAGGGCTCAAGATTTGGAGTCATACCACCCTGAGTTCTAATCCTGGTTCTTTTGCTTATTAGCCATGTGACTTTGGAAAAGTTAATATCTCCAAGCCTTAGATCCTTCACCTGGACAATGTGGATAATAGCACTACCTGCTGTGGATAAAATGAGAGTTCCTGTGGCCAGGACTGTCACCTGGCCCTGGTTGACTGGCTCACTGCACACCTGTGGGCAATTTGACTCTATATAAAGAGCTCTGCCCAGTGCTCTGGGCACGACACAGTGGCAGGGCTGCAAGGCTGCAGGAGAGCAGAGCAGAGGCTAGAGTGGTGGCAGTGCCGAGGATAGAGGCTGGCTATGTGGGATGACTGGGCAGGACAACTGTGCAGACAGAGGGGCCCAGAGGCAGAGACTGACTTGCTGCATGCAGGCTCTAGTGACTCACCTGCCACCTGGAAACAAAGTTGGGTATAACCCTTTGTCTTGCCAACGGGTTTCAGCCCCAGGCAAGTTTGCTATGGATGCAGTGTTACCAAAGGAATCAACAACAAAACGTTCTTGGGGTGAAAGAGTTTATTATCCGGCTTGTTCTATAGCGTCTCTGCCTCCACCCAGAGCACTGGGCCGAGCTCTCTATATAGCGCAATAATAGCTTATTGCCTACAGGTGTGGAAGCGGCAGCCTAACAGGCGAGTTCCATCATCAGGTAGTTTAAGTGAGGATCCTGGCCATAGGAACCCCAACTTCCCCACACCCTTTCACCCCAAGAATGTTTTGCTGTCAATTTATTTGGTCACACTGAATCCATAGCGAACTTGCCTGGGGCTGAAACCCATTGGCAAGACACCTGCCTTCATAGGATTCTTGTGAGAATTAGCTATGGTGACTTTTGTGATGGACTCAGCAAGGTGCTGGGTGCAGCATAAACATAATGACTGTTGCATAGGTTGAGATGCACTTGGAACCTCTCCTCAGAGATTCTCCCTCCTGTGTTGGAAGCTTGAAGGTCCAAGTGAGGATCCAATCCAAGTGAGATTGGATTGGAAACCCTTTAATATTTAGCAGAAGATCTTCTCTGTCAGAAGCTTTGTGATTTACACATTCATTTCCTCTTGAAGCATATGAAGCCAAAAGTAATGAATACCTGGCTTTAATTTTGGGAAAAAGAAAGAACACTTGGTAAGTTTTATGCTGTTTTTAGGATGTATAAGTCCTACACCAGACAGTTGTGATGGATGAAGAACCGCACAACCATTACCACATCAAGAGAGCAGCTCCATTGGAACCTGTCACGTTTCATTAATTCCCATAGACTGAACTCAAATTGTACACAGTTGCTTCTTAGAGGGTGGAGAGGTCTGGATTTCAGTTCAGTTTTGATAAACCAAAGGTCACTTATGTGACATGAAATACTTTTATCTGCTATGCATGATATTTATATTGTTTTCTTGCATCTCTGCCAATTCATAAAGTCCTTTACTAGACTCGTAGTCCGAT